CGTTTTCCCAGGCAAGAGCGCTGTACTGCTGTAACCATGGCTTTCTAGAGGTTTCTGATTTAAATAACCACCTTCTCCCCTCTCTAGTTCAGTCATTACCAGCTGGAGCTTCTGAACTCTCGGTGTCCCTATGCTTTTAACTGATTTTTACATTTTGGCAAAAGTTTAGCAGTAACGATGGTTGTCGGAAAGGGCCTTTATTCCACTGGTTTTTGTTGAGACCGTTGCAGTTTCTTCTTCCTCTGGTGTTGCAACAGTGTGGGCTTGGTCATAAATAACTTGGCACAGTTTCGCACAGTGAAGCCAGGTGTGGACAGCAGCTGTCTTCGGTACTGGGGTGTAACTAAGGTGTCTTTTGGAGCTGAATGTCATCCATCTTTTTCTCCTATGAAAATTTGGTTGCAAGAAGGTAAAATGAAGGTCTTTATGCTATTTGTAATCAAATTCAGGGCTTATTCCAGGTTCATAAATCTCCCCTTCTTGTTTGGTAAGGATGACATTATTGGGAGCCTGTAGCTTTTCTTTAGTTCCTTGAGATACAAACCATTACCCTACCTTCACGAACCCTGTTCCTGGAATAAATATTCCATGGGGAGCTTCATCTATTACAGATTAATGTCCAGGAAAAACTTTCCAGAAAATACTTGTGAAACCTGTTGTGTTCAAGTTTTGTCCTAAGAGAATCAGAGCAGTGTCTGTCTTCTCAGCACGTATATTCTTTAGTTAATCTTAGTAGTTAATGCTTCTTTATTTTTATTTAAGAGATGATGACGACAATCGGGAATGAAGAACAAGACTAGTTGACCTGTGGTCTTTACTTGCAGAAAGATCCCTTGTAGTCTCACGTAGATCCCTTTCATTCTCTGAAAAGTTTAGTCTTCAGTCCAGATAGAGTTGATTCCATCAGACAACTACATTTTTATTATTCTGGTCTTTTTTTATATATATTTTTCTCTGGTTTGGTTGTGTGTCTTTTTTTTTTTTTTTTTTAATAAAGTTCCCCTCAAGCCCCCCAAAGTCTTTCGTTGACAATATCACCTTTCATAAGACTGTCCCCAAGAAGTAGAATAGCGTGTGCTAATCTGCATGGACCTGAATAATTCAGTACTGGACCTTGTATTTCTTAAAAGCTCTCTGACCTTTGCGAGATCAGGGGAGATCTCACAGTCTACAGAAATATCTGAAGGGAAGGTGCAATAAGAGGGAAGCCAAGCTCTTTTCTTTGGCATCCTGTGACAGGACAAGAGGCAATGGGCACAAATTAAAACACGTGAAATTCAACCTGAACACAAGTAAACGGTTTTAACTGTGGGGGTGGTCAAACACTGGAATGTGTTGCTCAAAGAGGTTGTGGAGTCTCCATCCTTGGAGATACTCGGAAGCAGTCTGGACATGGTCTTGGGCAACGGGCTCTCGCCAGCGCTGCTTGAGCAGGGGGTTGGACCAGATGACCTCCAGAGGTCCCTTCCAACCTCAACCATTCTGTGAAACCTCTCTCCGAGGAACATCTGCTCCATAGTATTTTCAGAGTTGGTATAGCAAGAGCAGCTGTTTCATGGAATAATTCTGCCAAAAATGTGCAAAGTAATTTATGCTTCTCCTTTGCATTTCAAACAGAAAGAGCAGTCACATACATGCCTTTTTTAAAAGAGGAAGTTTGCCCAATTTTTGCAATAGCTTAAATGATTGCTGTTACTCACCAAGGTTACTTGAATGTATTCCTAATATACTGAAAACTCAGTGTGAATTAGTGAGGTACAATTTCAAAATCATGTAGCAAACGGTGTTGGTGTGTTGGGGGCTGGGGAGAGGTCCACTACAGGACGTCTTCCAGATATGTCAAGGACTGGTACTATTTTACAGCTTATTACTTTATTCATCCTACACTTTTCTTCTGGATTGTGATTTGAATTTGACAGAGTCTTTAAAACTTGCGTTCTTCTTCCTACCTATTTTCCTTTCCTCTTCATTTTTTTTTGGAGGGGGGGAATGTGTTTTGTTTTTTTGCTTTAATCTGCCTTCAGTAAAAATTGAGAGCACAATCTGGCTTTACAATCCAGAGAGAACAAAGTAAATACACTGAGTGGCGAATCTAAGTCACTTTTCCTTTTGTACAGTTATTTTGTGTGTTAAAGGCTGCTATGTAACTGAAAGGTCAGGCGATCCCTTCTTTCAGCTAGCATGATCCCTCGTCAGTACCTTCTTTTGTAAGCCTTCCTGAGACCTTAAGCACTGTTGCTTAGATGCCTGTGCTTGAGCTTAGGAGTTGCTCCCTCCCATCATCTGGAGTTACAGCTGTGTTTTTAGTGAAATGTATGAATAGACATTGTCTGTGGGTCCTTCCGTGAAATTGCCCTTGCCTATCTAATCTGAATTCTCTCTGATGCTATAGGCAGTCTTTAAATAAAGATACTTGCACTGTGTAGGCTCCTATTCTGAGCAGCCTTGGCAGCTGAGCCCATTTGCTGAATTTTGGCTATATAAAAAAAAAAAAAATCTGCTCTTTATCTCTTCCTAGGAAGGCTATTAAATGAATTTTTTGAGGAGGAGGAGGGTAAAGAAGATAAACATGCTTTTAAAAAAAGTCCTGTTTATACTAGGGAGGCCTGAAAACTTAGCCTTTAGAAATGGTGGGAGAGCAATACAAGTTCTCTGTAATTTTTCAGGAAGTTAATTTAACTAATTAAAAAAAAAACCTTCCAAGGGTTTGCAAGTGGCTTTTATCCTGAATTGGGATGAAAATAATATTTGCAGGTGTGAAATCCCCTCATCTTTTAGAACTGGAAAGCTTTGAGAGTGGCGGTCATCAAAGCTTTGAGAGCAGTGCCATCCTGGTAGGGCTGGTGGCCGGTGCTCTGGGGGGAGCCAGACAGAAAACCAGCAGGGAAAGGGCACGTTCTCCTGCCGGCTTCTTTCCTTTGAAAGTTGAGCAAAATGTACCGAATCCTGCAAACATCCTCTTTCCTACCACCTGAGCAAAACCAGCATTTTCAGACATGCACGGAGAAAAATCTTCCGTCAGCTCTGAAGGTAACTCTTGGCTTTTAGAGTAGGTGGGATTTAAATCCTGGTTAGCGATGGTAGGAGTTATGTGATCATTCATTTTGTACAACTTGTTGGTTAAATCTTTTATCCAAGAACCAACTGTCTGAACAAGTTGCAGGGTTTATTTCCTCTGCTGCTGCTGTTTATTTAAAAGATTGCTTTGTGGGTAGCTATTTTAGTTTGTATCGTGCAGCTCATATTTAAATAATAGATACCAAGTTCCTTTCGTAATACCTGATGATAGTTTCTCTGTTGCACAAGTTGACTGGACAGCAGTTAACTTGCTCTCGTATCCCTCTATCTGACTCCTTAGAATGCACTGGTGTAGTTTCCACTCTTGGAAGAGAATGAAAATGTTCATGGATACCAGAATACGTAACCAAATATTTCTTTATCGAGCAGTGACGTAGAGTGCTAGCGTCACGTTGTAGATCACTTGTTTCCTGACGGCGACAGTGCAGTCTCGTGAGATGAGGTGATAACACTGTACTGATCTGTACGGCACGAGATTTGTCAAGGGGTGAGAGTAGTGTGGCTACAGGGTTCCTATAGGAAGATGAACCTGAGCTCAGCGTAGAGGAGTGACTCCTGCCTTCTGCCCTCTCCATCCACGTCTCTCTGCAGAACAAAAAGATACCCAGCAACTGGCATTCCTTGAATGTGCTTTGCAGTTTTTATACAGAGGTAGAAGGCAATGGCTATCTTAACCCTTAGTGCTAACTGAACAGAAAGCGCTAATGCTGTATTGTTGGGCTTATTCCCTGAGGGGATTTCTGAAATCCTTTCAAAATCTATCCACCCCTACAAAGAGATGTGTGACTGTGTATTATTTCTCATACAACTACTAATTTGCACGTATAAATAACATCGTGCAGATTCTGGGAATGAGAAATAGAAAATTTGTAAAAGTAAACCAGGGGTGGTATGCATTTTATGTAGTTGCTTCCAGGTTAGGTTTAAACTAAGTTTATCTTCCATGTGGACATATTGAGGTGAGGAACCACCACCAAAACCCACACAGTTCGGGGCAGGGGGAAGAACGTGTCTGACTCCCCTCAGCAATAACTGGCTGATCTTTTAAGCTCATCAGAGGGCTGCTGCTGATGACTTGTAAAACGCAGTCTGTGTTACTAGTCTGATCCTTAATCAGCCATATATGCAGTGAGCTGCAAGCCCTGAATGTGTTCGGCAGTACTGTTTTATAACAGTCAAATTAGAGTGAACTCTCTTCCCCTTTGAAATATCACTGAGTTTGAGAAAGATGCTTGAATTTTGTGAAGAACTGTAGAATTAAATTTTTGACGCTGAGCTTGGAGCATGAACCGAATTGCTAGCAAAAGACTACTGAAGTTGGAGCAAGGACCACAAAGATGATTAAGGGACTGGAGCATCTGTGACATGAGGAGAGGCTGCAAGAGCTGGGACTGTTCAGCCTGAAGCAGAGAAGGCTCAGGGGGGTCTCATCAATGTGTATAAATACCTGGTGGGAGGGAATGAAGAAGAAACAGCCAGGATCTTCTCAGTGGTGCCCACTGGCTGGACAAGAGGCAGCAGCACAAAGTAAAACACATGAAACCTCATTTGAATGTAGGAAAACACTTTTTTACTGTGAGGGCAGTCAAAGACTGGAGAAGGTTGCCCAGAGAGGTTGTGAAGTCTCCTTCTGTGGAGATGCTAAAAACTCAGCTAGACATGCTCTTGGGCAGCCTGCTCCAGCTGACCCTGCTTGAGCAGGGGAGTTGGATCAGAAGCTCCGAGGAAAGGGAGGTCCTTTTCAACTTGAACGGTTTTGCAAAAGTTTTGTTGTATTGTTTTCAACACTATATTAACTTACTAGTTACGCAGATTGACTTCAGTTGTCTCAGTATGTGATAGGTTATACTGCGCTTTTCATTACCATATGAATATGAAGCATATCTAAACAATTTGCCTTTCTTTCTGTCTCTCCTTTCTAGGTTCTGGGAACGCCTACAAGGGAGCAAATTAGAGAAATGAATCCAAACTATACTGAATTCAAATTCCCTCAGATTAAGGCACATCCATGGACTAAGGTGAGTCTATATGAACTGAATAATAGACATGTGGGCTGAAAGTAAAAATTCAAGGAGTTCAGTTTGTTCAGTGGCTTGGTGGTTTTCAGTTTAAACTGGGTGCCTTTAACTAAGCTGGGGACCCGGTAACTTTGGTATCGGAGAAGAAGGTATTGAAGCAGTGCACTGTAATACCTATTGGTCTGGGGTTTTTTGAGGTTGCCTACAGGTGGTTTGTTGTGGGGTTTTTTTTAACAATGGTGTGTGTGTTTATAGCAGATTGCATTATATCTAAATCCTGTTATGCTATAAATTGATATGTGCAAAAGTCACCTACAAATGAGAAAGTGTTCCAGTGATAAGTGTGACACTTTTGTAATGCTGTTACATAATGTGATGAGGGTTGACAGTCACTTTCTTAACGGCTTCTCTCATAGATATTATTATATTTTTACTCCTATAGGTGTGGTGTTGAGGGGGCTTGTTTTTTCTTGGAGTTACTTCTTAAGACTTCTTGTTATCTAGCTTTCACAAGCAAATGCTATTGCTGTACATGCAGAGAGTGTTATAACCTCCATGATCAAAAAGGAAACTGTTAGTATTGAAACAAATACATTGCCACACAATTAAGCTGTCTTCCACATATCAAGGAATGATGAATATTTGACTTGGGACAGGGTAACAATTAATCATTTAATTAGCCTCTTGGGTGTGGAATAAGTTAAATATTGAGTCTTAAGCAATTGAAGCCTGGGTAGTTAAAATTTTCTTTTTGGTGCTTGAGAAATGTCTGATATAGTCGCAGTATATTCTCATCATACCTTAATGGCTCAGATTTCCTTCTGCTGAGAAAGTTGTTGTATGCGTGGAAGGGTTGCATTCCTAGCTGAGCACATGTCCAGGTCAGACTCTCAGACCAAATGCTCTGCAGTGATAGAAACTCTGGATAAACAAATTGGAGCTAATTGATAACAGGCCACGTACCTGATAGGTACATGCCAGCCAGGTACTGCGAGTCACTATTTTTGTGATAGATTCTCCAATGAGTTATGCAGCACTTTAATTCTCCTATTCCCCACTAATATCTGGTTTGCCTTTCCATATCAGAGTTTCTTTCTGTTTGTTGGTTAAGTGATTTATAATAGTATGAGAGGTCAGTAAATCCAGCAAGGCTTTTTCATACCTTATGTTAACAAGGGAAAAATTAGGGCAAATGAAATCCCTGGGAGTGGTCTCTTCAGTTTTGAACTGCATCGTGTTAAAAGTTGCAAGAATAAGTCCAAAAGCCTTATAGCACTGCATATTAAGGTGCATCTGAATTCCTGCAGTTGAAGGTGTTTCAACTGGGGGGGGGGAGGGGTGTTAAATTAATATGCAATGGAGTAGGAGTGTGGAGATGTACCGTAGGACATGGAGTTAAGCATCTAAGCTAGCTATGCAACTCATCTTCTGCCTGAATAGTCTTAAGAATCATCTGTATGCACCTGATGGTCTGTTAGACCACAACAAAGATCTTTCAGCAAATAGAAGCTTCAAGAAAAAACTGAGACTTCCTTCTATTTCTGTGAATGGTTGGTGGGGTTTTTTTTTGGTTGTTCTAAACGATCACAAGTGAAACAAGTCAATTATGGAGAATTGAGATCAAATCTGCATTCTCCGTGAGGGCACAATTAGTTTTGGAGAGCTATGTGTGCAACATAGCTTCTCATTCTAAAGTCATTCTGCACACAACTCTTCTTGACATTGGCTGGGTGTAGAATAGCATTTAAACCAGTTTATTACAGTTGCATTACGTGATACTTCATTTATGAGATCTGTACTTTTATTATGCAAATGCTAAATTAACAAAATGGATTATCCAGCATGGTGTTGGTAATGATACTTATCCTCTCAATGTATTACTTCTAAAGATCCTTTCCTTTCAACATTTTGAGCATGTTGCGCCGTGAAAGATTTAAGTGGTAGTATTATGTAGAATTGGTCTTCCTTACCCAGCTGTATTGGCATAACATCTGACGGCACATCAGTGGGCATGTGCATCCTCTTGGAGCTTCTGCATCTTAGAATTGAAAAGTGTGGGAGAAAAGGCTCTTCTGAACTCTGGCTCTCTAATGAGCAGAAAAGGAATGACTGAAGAAGTGAAAATGCAAACTTATTTTTATTTATTTATTATAACTATGTATGTAACTAGAGTGCTACAGGTAGTTACCAGCAAGACTTGAGCTTTAAGTTTCAGCCTCAAAAGCACGAGCCTTTGCCATCTAGGCTAAAGAATTACATTACTGAAGATTACAGTAGTTAGAAGGTTGTTATTTTTGTGGATTAGTTATGACCAGGGGACTCGGCAGACAGAAGCTAAGGGGGGGTTGTGTGGAAGAACTTGCAGGCAGCTAGTTGTCAGCATTTTTGAGAGAGAATTACTAAGAATATAGTCACTCCCTGCTGTAAGCTCTTTGACAGAAGGGCATTCTCCTTGTTGCTTTGTAGTATTTAATACAACATAGGTATTTTTCAAAATTGAGGGGTTTGTAGGTCCTACTTGGAGTTAATTCCATGCGGTGGAGATGCCCAGTGAAGGTGCATGTTTAGCTGCTGTCTAGAAGTTTAATGTCTTCTACGCAGTCTGGAACTGGTTGTATCCAGGCCAATAATCTGTACAAAAGTAAGGTCCATGGTTTGCTCTGGTTTTCAGGGAACTTTCTTGGTCTGCAAAATGTGTGTAGGTGGCAATTAAGAATTTTCTTTGGAAGCTGTAGTACCTATAGGTTGCACCTGAAATTCTGTGGTGCGGGCTTCTGTCAGATGTACTTGGTTCTGGTCTGTTTTCTAGGTATTTTTGGCAGGCATAGATACATTATTTTCCTACTCGGTATCGCTGTGGTGGTGTAATCTGCTACATTTGCTGTTACCTACTAGGTGACAAAGAATTGTGGTTGGTGCTATAGCAGAATGCAGTAGGTTCTGGGTTTTTTTTTAAGAACCGGAGAAATCGTTTGAGACTGAAAAAGGATGAGTCTGTGAAGGAATATTGTTTCTCAGATTCATTCAGTTTCAGGCTTAAACTGGAATTTTGAGCACAAGTTTTATGGAAATTTGCGGTCTACCTTGATAAGTGTCTCTTAGGCTTTTCAGTAGAAATGGATTGGTATGATCTGAATACAGTATTGATATTCAATGTGATTTAGTAGTACTAAGAAATATCTCAGACTAACAAGGGTCTTCATAGATTAGGAGAGAAGTCAAGCTAATACTCTCAAAAATGTTTTTCTATGCTGCAGCAATAATGCGAGTTTACAGTGCAGACTGTTCTCAGACTGGTTTTTCAATCTGTTGACAATTTGAGATTGAAGTACTTTTGGAACTTAAGAGCTGGAATCTCTCATTATAAAACATACAGAGGCCTCCCTCTCTTCTCTGCAATATAGTTCTGTGTTGCCCAAGCATGCGCGTGTTTTTGTACCAGTTACGTGCATGATGCAGATGATGATGGGAGTTCCGTGTGTCCCTGGCTAGCAAAAGAAAAGAGAATCTGAACTTTCCAGGAATCTTTCAAACAGTTCTTCCAAAACAGGACTTCTCTTCATCTCTTCTGGCACCACACCCCACCCCCCACAACTGCAGACCCAAAAGGAAGAATCTGTGACAATTTTGGTTTTTCAGGGAGGATTCCTCTTCAGAATACCGGAGTGTTTGATTTAGTAACATAGCCGTTCTTTTCACCCAGACCTCCCTTTGTTTTCACTTAGTATAGAACATTTTATATTCATGGAGGAGCATCCTATTGCTTGGTCTGCAAGTAAGCAGCATTAAGTTATAAAGAAGCGAGGTTTTGCAGGGGTGGGAATGTCTTTTGACTGACTGATACAGTTGGGAAAAAACGGGTGGGCTTTGAGACACACAATCACATCTTCAGGTTTATCTTGGGTCGGAAAACGTGTCCATTTTTTCCAACTGTATCAGCTCGTCAAATAAAAGTTACTACCCTTTCTGGAGGCTTTGCTGCTGTTAATCTTTACTAGGTCAGAACTTTCCTTCTGTGTCTTTCAGCCACCTCAACTCCTTGAGCCTTCTTTCTTCTTGGGAGTGCGGTCTGATCTCTGCCACTAATCTTATACTTGTTTCTCTTCTTCTGACTAAGCTTCACCTATGCTTTATAACTATGTGCCTGGAAAGCCAAGAAGAAAATCTGGGATAAAGTGCAAAATCGTGCATCACGAGGCTGGTGAAATTCAGCTTTGACGATTAGCTTTCTCTGAAGCTTTCGGCCCTTTTGGAGGGGGGCAGGGAGAGTGGGGTGGCTGACGAAAGGTCTCAATGCATGTTTCATAAGCTTGTGTTAGATAGGCGTTGCTTACTGTGGCCCCATTACAGCTGGCCTTTATCCTAGCATTACTCAGATGCTACCTTCAGATCTCAAATCCTTTGGGTTATGAAAAACAAAGACGGTGCTATGATTATTTCCAGAAATATGAAAAATGTCCGTCTGTGACAGCCTGCCTTTCCCCTTGCATCCAGCTAGTAAAGGATCTTATTTGAGTAATGTAAATGCAATATGATTATGTAGTTTAGGCCTCTTCTGCATGGGGGAGATGGCTCATTTGGCCTTTTTTTTCCCACCCAAGGATACTTCCACATTAGCTGGTAATGGCAATATAATGAACTGACTTACCTACTGAGCTACGAATATGCCCATGGTTTGTGATGGCAGAATGACACAACAGGTTATATCAGCAAAGGCCGTTTTCTTTAGTCAAATCATAACCTCTGCCTTGTCTTCATTGTACAGATGTGGAAGCCAGGCAGCTCTTTAAAATGGACAGTACATCTCTTCAGTGTGCTGTAGTTTAGTGGCCTTTGTTTCTCCCGTTCTGAAGATACTTGCAAGATGGTTCACGCATGCAAGCACTTTTTAAAATATACAGTTGTTGAGATAAGTTTGAGTGTACTCAAAAGAATGGCTTCATTCACCATCCCCAAATCTATAGCTACCTGGTGTCTGATCTTAATTTCCAAGTTAGTGT